TTCGTCTGTTTGTGTCTATATCTGATATCTCTGTGCATTCACGCAAAAGGTACTAAACGGATTTTTATTAAATCTATATTAATTATATCTATATATAATAATTTAAATATTATTAGTGATAACAATTATTACTCAGGTCAACATTTAGGATATATTTTACTACATGTAAAAATTCTCATTCTCATGGAAAATACTATAATTAATTCGGCCGAATTGTCCTTCATAAAACAATTTAAATGATTTATTACAGGTAAACTGTTATTAATACGGGCTTATATATTTTTTAATAATTAAAGTTATTTTTTAAATTTATAATAGTAATATTTTAGATACGTACTTTCTTTAAAATGAGTATAAAGTATGAACTTAGCTATATCTTCATCAGTGTAAATTAACAGTAAATTCTATAAGTATATCTTATCAAGAAGACGTGATATTTTATATGTTGTATTACTTATGTAGACAATCAAAGAGGACCTTAACTAGGGCCGCGTGCACGCCCTCCGCCAGTAAAGACCCGCACCACGCATTGCATTAAGATCAATCGTCGCGGCTCTGTGACACGTGGCCATTATATTTTAATTTAATGAAAAAGTATGCGATGCAATAGGTACAGTAGCTTAATAATTCCATACCTCTGCATCGTGACATTATTATACCTAGTGGTTTTTTACTAATTTAAAACAAAAAAGAACAAGCGCAAAATTTAATATTTAAGTAAAATTTTTATCTTACTAATATTATTAAATACTTAAGAATGTCAGTATTACTTGTTACTGTTACGTTTTAACAGTTAATTCCATAAACCACTAAAAAACACATTTGACTTTTGGAGACGGAAAATTAATAGAAGGTTTAGTGGAACAAGGATATACAAAGTTATATTCCGACAAACAATACAGTCTCACAGTTAACTGACAAAAATCTGACAATGAAAATTCGGCTAAATTAAAAAATCTAAGTGATATAATACGGGATTTTAGAAAACATTAGACAGACTATGACCCTGAGTAACACATAGGCTAGATACTTATTATACGAGTACCTGTGGACGCACCAGTGCGAAACGAGGGTAAGTCGCTAGTTATACATATATAAATGCATTATTGTTGAATATATTTATCTGTTCGTAGGCTTCACTACACTTAGGTAAGTTTTATGTTTATCTAAGTCGCATAGCTTTAAAATATTAGCATTATTTAAAAAAAGTCATTGCTAGCAAGTCGGGTTTCTTTTGTGAATAAATCAGTTAAAATAACAATAAAATAAATATATTTATTAAAAGCATTCCTTAAATACCATGCACACTCAGCGGGCACATCAAACATAACTTTTTGTATAATTTTAACAACAATGGCGACACTTAGACAGACAGCTTTATCAAGAAGCGATCACTTGAGTGATACTTTTAAAAAATTTGATACATTTAACAACACTTCTTGCCGCCTATTGTTGTGCGTTATTGATGCCTCGGACTGCAAGTATTATCCTTATTTGATAAGATTAAATCAAATGGATATCCTTTTATACTTATAGCTATGCACTTAGACTATTTAGAACTAAGCTTTATTTTCAATTTCTGATAAACCTCTAATATAATATAAAGTCTGTATAAAATAGAGATTATTAGAACTACTAAGTTAAAAGAATAGAAACAATAAAAGCAGGTACTAGGTATATTAATTTTTGAACTAGACTGTCCATATCGACTCTCATTATTTATTCATAGGATAATGATTTGAAATTAGCTACCACATGTTGAGGTCTTTTGTTTCTTTGCACGATAATAAAAACCATAGATTTTGCCTATTTCCGAGCCTGCTCTTTATTAAAAAGCTGAGCCGAACATTTTATCGGCAGGTACTAATTACTAACTTGGCAAAAGGACACTGGATATTTATTATAGTTGTAATAAGCACATAGTGCTATGTTCAAGTAAGTATGTATGTATTTTTTTAATTAAATTAAGTTGTCATAGAGTAGGTATATAAAAGTAGAATAATTTCTATAAAACTGTAGAGGTCGAATGTCTGTACATAGAAAAAAAATGCTAAACACCGAGTCAGGGGGATGTAAGATATGAAATAGAGCAAATCCAGTTTTTTTTTCAATTTTTTTGTTTCTATGTCTGTTTGTCTTTTTATACGGGCTAATCTCCGAAACTATTCGACTGATTTAAAGGAAATTTTGCATTATATCCCCGGTCAATATCTTAGATACTTTTCATCCTAAAAAATTAAGGAGTTCCCATGGGATAGTTAAAAAACTATAGTAACTTATACAGCTTAGTAGGAGAGATGCATGCAATATGATCCCCTTAAGGGAAAATCTTTACTGTGTTCAAAGTTTTAGACAAAAACACAAGATTAAAATTGTTAAGAATAGTGAATTTACTTATCTTTCTAACTGCATGCTTATTTGTGATGATTTGTATGTGGTTTATTAGTTTCGTCATTTTAAAAAAAAGTTTAGTAAGGGATCGTTTTATACATACATGTGTATAAAACGATCCCTGGGAAGGGTTAAAATGATCCCAGGTATCATTTTATACCCTACAATATTTAATATTAACAAAATAAAACACCCAGCTGTTTATTTTAATCATATGTATTGCTTAAAGCATCAAAAATATTTAAGCGTATTATGGATAACATTTTAAGTCTTGAGTTACATTGGAGATCATTTTTTTACTACTAAATCAACAAAATTAAACGTTAAACAATTGTAACAAACGTTTTAAGGTTTATACAATTAACAAAATATAAATAAACAAATAAACTCATCTTCCTAATTAAAAAAACAGTATAGACTGTTCCTCAGGCCAATTTTGGCGAGTGGGTTTACGTTTGTAAACTCGCGGTATAATCTGTAAAAATAATAATACAAAATAAAAAAACTTTTTTAAAAACAAGCTTTAATTGAAATGCTCTAAAAAGACGAAAATAAACTTTAAAACAAATCAAATCCATCAATTTATTACATTACTCAATTATTATGATATAAAAGCGGAGTTCCAGTGGCAATTTTTTGGCTTCATCTTCAGACCCTTGTCATCATATATGTATAATGAAAGTTACTCATGATAAAAAAATACTAGCCCAAATTCAACTGTCCTACCATTTGCCATCAAGTAGTTCCAGTCTCTACACCCTGGCTCCACCATCAGATCAACTCGATGGTATCATAATATTGCATTGTCATTTGTCACCGGACTAACATAAGTATGCAAAATTTCAGCTCTATCGAACATCGGAAAGTGGATCAAATTTAACGTTCAAATTAAGGTCAAATGTAAAATTTGACCTTTAAAATCATACATACATACATATATACATACAGACATACATTACAAGTTAAATAAAAGTTTTTAAAAATACTAATGGGGGTAATATGATTCCAGGGATCGTTTTATGCACACGAAGAGGGATCATTTCACCTCAAACACCAAATTTCTAGACATCGATCAAAATATAATCTTCAAATACAAAGTGCGGTATTCAAACATTGCTTAAATATAGCTGAACGTTAATGGAATCCGCCAATAAAACAATGTTTCAATAAATCTTAACATGCAGAAAGTAATGAAACTCGAAAAATAGACTTACCATAGGTTAGAAGCACGTTTTTTATTTATTTTTTAATAAAACCATGGTAAGTGCTCACACCGCCATGACACTCGGAGAGGCAACTTTTTTTCTGTTTGTCTGTTTACCTGTATATCTGTTTACCTGTATGTCTGTTTGTACGGGCTAATTTCCGAAACTGTTAGACGGTTTAAACGAAATTTTGCATGGTGGTACCTTATATCCCCGGTCAACATCTTAGATACTTTTCATCCCGGAAAATTAAAGAGTTGTCGCGGGCTTAGTACTACACATAAGTAAACTATTAATTGGATTTTAATGAAACTTTACAATAATATAGTTCATACATCAGAATTACAAATAGGCTACTTTTTACCCCAGAAAATGTGCGGTTTCCGTGGGATTGATTTGTTTCTGTGTGTCTAGAACCCAAAGAAATGTGACCAGCATACGATGATTTTTTATAACGTTAAGACCTAAATAGTTAATAAGGGAATAAGTTCTACGATTATTGCCACAGATTATATTTAAATCTATAAACGCTTCTTTATACGCTATCTACTTAGGTATATCCAAATATAATGAAAAGTTTTAGATAATAATATGTATGTATGCTTTCAAAATTAAAATGTCACCATACCCACCTAAATATGATTTTTTTATTACATGGTTGCATAGGTAGGTACTAGATATAAATATTATTCGTAGAAACTTCAATAAAAATAGAAACTTCTTCTGAGAACTTACTGATAATAAATCTTGCAACTTACAAAAAAAATATTTTATAGGTAGGTACACTTAGGACTGGAAAAACGATAACACTAGATCAATGCCACTTACTAGAATAGAGCATAAGATAGGTACTATTATTACAATATATTTATAATACAGCAAAAGTATCATATTTCGACAGTATCACGATCCTGGGATCATGCTCCCCCAATAACGTATTTTATTATATAACGTATATTTATCTTGTTACAATGGAACAAAAGGCTTGATACTAGTATATAAAACACTCGAGACGTCCAAAAAGCATAATGCCCATCATTATACATTCATATGCTTTGTTACTTATAGTATTTATTTTGAAACATGTCGAGGGGAGAAAACCCTCTTTCCGCTCGAAAGCTCCCGAAATTGCATAAAGAAGGCGTCGGACACTGTGGGGCGTTGTCGTAGAGCACTGTTATTGGCGCTACGGCGCCCCACCATATTATTGCTCCGCCCTGATGAAAACTCTTCCTGTCGATTGTTCCGTGGCTCATTCTGCAGTCGGTGCTCTCAGTGGAAGGTTGTCGATTCGATACAATCGATTTGTGTAATTCATCTAAATCACTGCCAAGTGAAGTTAGTTTTAGGCGTTTAAGAAGTGATGTTGAATAGTGTAAACGTGTGACACGTGTTATGCACGCAATGAGTGATCCAGCTGCCTTGGCAGGAATGTTGCCGTTTGACTCCATCGGCTTGTATGAGCAACCAAAGCCACGGTTCATCTTCAAAATGCCGCGCGTTGTACCAGATCAAAAAGCAAGATTTGAATCTGAGGATTTATTTAAAAGACTTAGCAGGGAAAGTGAGGTATGGAATAATATTAAATATATATTAAACATAATATCATTTGGCAGTTCAATTCATTTAATGAATATTATTATGATAACGCTTGCTTCTCTAAATTTATCATAAATTTCTGTAGTGCTATTAGTACAGACTGAACAGGAAAAATGTACACGACGAAATATTTTCATTACAACAAATGCTTTACCGGGAAGGATATGATATTGTTTATTATTTTTTCCTTTCCAAGTTTATTTCATATTATTTCAATAAATTTAAAAGAAATGCCTTTGATTTAACTAAATGAAATAACTAACGATTAATTATGATTTGTTAACAGGTTCGCTACACAGGTTACAGGGACCGTCCACCAGAAGAGCGTCAGATGCGTTTTACCAGCGGTTGTCGTGAAGGGCACACCGAGATTGCCTTCACTACTACTGGAACAAACCTCCAACTAGTCTTTGACCATTCTCCATACAACAATCGCGGATGTGATTTCCAGAAAGAGACCGGCAAGGTAAACATATATAAAGTAGAGTTATCACTGCTAAGTATGGTCGATTTATAACAACATTAAGAATTTTTACATTAGTAAATTTAACCCGTTGAATTATAAATTATGTTTCAATAATCGATACGGTAACTAGATAAGGTACTACACTTATTTTTCAGACAGCTCAATTATAATTCTATCGGTAGTTTCTAAAACTCAATCAACGAGTCCATGTGTAGGTAATATTTATTAATTGAAGATATTACATTTGCAACCTAGCGAATAAAACTTAAGAATCTATTATCAAAAATAACTAGATTCGTAAGTATCTCTTCAATAGTATCTCAATGATGTAGTTAAAGTAATATATATACCTATTTGTTTTATATTTTGAATAATATATAATATGTATAGGAGAAAAATGCATACTTCTTTACATAAGTACTTAGACTTCATTATATTCACTAATACCTACTTAATATGCTAATATTCTATCTCGTTCGTAAGCCCCATTCACATTTTAATAAAAAGGTTTGTTTTCGAATTTCTTATAATACTAAGTAATAATATTTTTACCTTTTGTTAATAATACTTTTATGAGTCATACCATAATGGTATTAAGGATCCGGCTGACTTCATTATCTACTAGTAGAAGATATGTTCGCGTCATCATCGTTTCCGGTTTCCATTTTCATAACGAAAATGAAGACATAAATATTATTGTAGCAAATGAAAATTATATTAAGTCGTAACACCGAACATAAAGTGTCGGTCACGCTTCGGAATCGTTTTGATGCGCTTTTGAATAAAGGCATCTCAACTAGCCGACCGGTTCGCTTAATGTCATGTACATTATACTATTTCAAACATGCTAATGCATTAATATCAAAGCGTTAATATAGTTATCATAGCGTAACACCAATAAATGTTTAAGTAATTTCCGGATGTTTTGTCAAGGTGCCTAGTATATTGGGTTTTTTTGCAATTGATTCAAAATGATCGATGGTTAAGAAACGATTAGGTAACAATAATATCTGCATTTGTTGGTAATAACTTGAAAATTCACCTCTTTATTTTTCATTATAAAATTATGCATATATTAGAACAATAAACGTTTTTCTTTTTTATTAACGTGCAGCAAACATTTAAAATTTGTCTTTCCATGAATTATATTTATCAGAATCTATTATGTAAAAACGTCCGCCTTTTAAATTATCGTGACTAATTCGCCGCTTAATAGTGACGTCTATCTACGTAAATCGGCATGTGTATGTGACTCTACATTTGTTCTAACGCTTTACAATGTCATCTAACGAGGTTTTTACGGTAAAAATATTTTAAATTAAATAGATAGCGATACAATTACATGTTTGTCAATAATTATTTTTCTATCACTACAAATCTATAGGTTTATCCTGGCGTTTCCGTAAAATAATAACTAACTATTTATTTATTTATTTATTGTAGTCAACTTTAAAAATGTTAATACGAAAATAATTCTCGTGTGACCGAAGCCTCCATGCAGATAGAATACCCATATGAACCTTTAAATTTGTTATGAATTCTTATCTAGTCTGTATTTTTACTTCTGTATTTATACGAATATATGAAGAGCCGATTTTTTTGTTCGGTTATACTGCATTAACTTCTGAACCGATCGGAATAATACCCATACCATAAGATGTAGTGTGTTTCGGAGAAGGTAAAGGTATACCGCAGGAAAACACTAGTTCAGTATAAATCATTAAGGAACTAATAACGTCTAGGCGATTATAAGTCGAACTCATATATTGCGTATTCTACAATATTTAAGAATTTTTGAATATTTTCGCTTTAAATATTAAAAAACGTTTTTAGAAAAAAAACTAAAGGAGTTATGAATACCTATGTGATCTGTGTAAATACATAAATAATTTTATAAATATAAATGCCTTTTTAGAGCTAACGCAACCTTATTACTATGCCTCAGCTGTCAGCCCGTCCTGTATTTCACGAACCGTAATAGGTAAAGAGATGAAATTTTCACAGAGTATGTAGGTATTTCTATTGCCGTTGCTGTTTTAAAAACAAGTAATAAAAATACAAGAAACATTTTTTTACATTCGTAATCGATCATCGAAGTTAATATAATACATACATAAAAAAAGAGTCATATTAAAAAAGTACATGTACGATGGTACGGAACCCTTCGTGTGCGAGGTCGACTCGCACTTGACCGCTTTTTTTAAAATTCGTCTTAACTTAAGTCTAGGAAAAAGTTAGTTTCATCATAACGAATCAATAAAAAGTGTATATTTCATGAACGATTTTATTAAGCCCCTTCGTTACATCAAGACCGCCTACTGTGTGAGTGAATGGACCTGTGTGTGTGAGTACTTATATTTATTTACACTCAGTTCATTTAACAGCACACTCGAGTGTACACAAGCCCTCATCTTTTAAAATGATTGTCTGTGGAAACAAGTAACTATTTCAAACACGAAATCGAATCACTAGTTATAAATACAATGAATACTTAGTTTAGTTATAGTTAGTACACTACAATATGAAGTAGGTATACGGCTGGATGTTGGTAGTAGGATCTTTTATTTGCCTATATATTGCATATTTGAAACAAAATAATTGAAAAACATGTACTTAGGTACCTACGTAGTATTTATAGTGTATGCTATTATATTTTGTATTCTAATATTAAATTATTATTTCATTTGATATACTTACATTTCAAAGGTTTACGTACGATCTAGTTTATTTAGTAAAATGTTTTATTTCTTTTACAAAGACCCTCTTGTTGAATACTCGAGGGAACTAATAAAATTAATTTCGTAAGCTCCTTTGTAGCTTAGGGGAAAACGGCCTGAAATCAATAATGGAAAAGCTCCTGTAGGATTGGAGGGCGTCGGGACGCCACGCCCGCCCAGCCATCATGGCCGACGATGTGTCGCCTCCCTAATATTTCAACTTAAATTTGCTTTAATATTATCTTTTGCGTTCTTTATTTTTCTATTAAACATTAAATAATACACTAATAATACTTAATGTAAAATCAAATATGTATTAAAAAACTCATAACAATTATTAAGAAAGCTAGTAATCTACGTTTTATTAAATTATATAAATTATACTAAAAGTTAGATGATTACTAAATACTTAGTACGTATGGGACGTGCGTATTATAGCTTATAAAGAAACAATACCGCCAAAGCCAGAACAAAACGCACGCGATCTTAATGTCCGTTTCGCTTACCTGCTGTCGTGCCTTTCTTTTTCTTTGACCTTGATGAAAAATAACAATACTCAACATGATAACATTTTAGTAAGCCTATATATTAATTTTATCATTTTTAAAATATATCATTGATACTATTCCCACCCACTGTGATCATTTTTGTTTTAAACAGTATGTTTTTCATCGAATTTAGAAAATGTTGATCATTAATTTTGCTAAAATGAACCTTTTTTGTTCGTCAGGTCCACATCGTCTCCCGCTTCATTATGAACGGCGTTTGTGTCAGATGGCGAGGTTGGATAGACCTGGAACGACTAGATGGCGTCGGTTGCTTAGAACTCGACGAAGAGCGAGCTGCAATAGAGGATTCCGCTTTAAGGGAGCAAATAGAGCGGTACAATCAGCGACTGAGAGATTTTGAGGACAAACAGAGAGCATACCGCGAGCACGGAGAAGAATTGCGAGCACATTCTCAGGTTCACGCACAGCGCTGCCACCAAGCTCGCCAACCGCCTCACCCGGCTCACCCCGCACACCCCGCACATCCTCATGCAACGCACCCTGTTCATATTAAGCCGCACTCCCAGGGTGCTCTGATTTCATAAACCTTATATTTTTCCATAACATTCAAATTTTGAAAAAATACTCTGTCAGTATTAAGTAAAGGAAGATAATAACATAAAATACCTATAGATCATAAGAAAATACGCGCGTAAGCGGTAAGTTTCACTTACACAAAATGTTTATAAATTATTTTTTTCAGTGGTAGCTGTAACGTTGCGAATACTAATTAAAATCTTCACTACTTATTAAAATTGTCACAGAATTAATTTGGAAATTTAAACGTTTCACAATTATATGAAATTATTAATAGGTAGGCACTTGAATAACAAGAATATAGTTTCTGTGAAAAGAAGTAATGTCATTAGTTGATGGGTTTGAACATTTAAGAATGACGTAAGAAACTTAAAATTATGTGCTAGATAATTTAGCAAATAGTACCCCTTAAATATCACAATATAAGTGTTTAGACTATTATACCTATGCCACATAGTTTAATAAAGCCATTGCAATCAGGAGGTGAATAGCGGAGTCTTAGTAAATTAGCATTCAATAATGTTAGATTTAGAAGTTACTAAGTATATAAATGTAAACTTTGTTAGAAAGTACATAACAGTATTTTTCCTAACGTCGAATTGATTTAAATGGTTAAGAGTAGAATTTTACTTAACATTTTGTTTGTACAGATGACATTATGTTCATGTTTACTAAGTATTTGTGTTATTTATTTTTAAGATTTTAAATTTATACATTTCTTCGAAATTATATGATGGGTAAATAAATAAAACTTTATAATTTTCAAACATACTTTTATTTAAACCCAAGAAGATAACACCGTTTGAGCTATAAAATATAAATATCAAAGTTGGTAAATATCATATATGTAGTAGAATAAATTATATCTTTATTTTACATACGATTATAATAATGTAACTGATTCGATCATAATTTTGAATATTTTTTTTCTTTTATAAAAATATGAAAATTAATGTTAATAACTAATAATAATATAGGTACCTATATTACACGGTAAATTAGTATTACTATCCTGTTTTGTTTAAGACAGACAAGAAAAGAGGATCAATGGATCATTGTTACTTAATTTTAATTCTCTGTAATATTTTATTATATTCATCCTTTGCACGCTATCGCAATTAAATACAATTAGCCATCCGTCACATGTTCTGGTGCAAAGACTCAGGCGCTAGAGTTGCACGCGCGGCGCACCTGTGGCTGCGCTCGCGCAACCCTCGCCCTACGCTCATTATACCCAATTTAGTTCAGGAAATGTTCCCATTTATGCTCGTTGAACACACACTTAATTGCTGCATTTAAAGGTTGAATAGTCAGAACAAAATGTTAATATTTTAGAAGTAAATAAATTCTAATACCCATAAATATTTTGTATTGTAAAACATTAAAATAGTTTAATAACTACGCTAATCAACATTTTTAAGGCAATTATGGTTCTGGTAGAAAAAAAAATGCAGGAAATGCATAGTGCGATCGTTGTTATAATACTAACAAAAACTGAACAAAAAGCATAAATCTAAGAAAAACTTGTTAAAAAGTGTGTAGGTTCATAATCTAGTTATTAGTTACCATTTATAAGATTTTCTTAAAGTGATAACATTATTTTCACGCTTACTTAGCTATGACATCGAGTTCCTATACACAGATACCTGTATAATGTTACATTTTACACGGAAATAAACATATTAGAATGTAAGCAAAAGTTTCGATATTATCTCAGTTTTTATTGTGACATACGGCACCTTGACCGTCAAAATTGAGCAGGTACCGGGCATCGTAATCGGTATTAGCAAAAAATCAACCTTTAAAGGTAAGATCGATGAGCATCCAGATATTATTAAAAAAACAGTGATTTATCAAGGCGTTCTTTTCTGCAAAAAGCTCAGGTCAGTAAGTACGATATACCAAAAAAGGTATTACCTACATGTAAATCGTAAATATATTGTGTATACTAGCGTGGGAACTTCTTACATACATTATTCGTACATATCTTATGTTCTGATCTGAAACAGCTTCCGATGATAAATTCATTTTTTAAACTATGCGTAGGCATTGCGAAAAAGGGAAAAATCATGCCGAAATACTATTTTCTGAATTAATAAGTAATTAAATATAAAATATATCCTTTTGACATAACAAAAAAAAATTGAGAAATTTTCCGTCATTCTCACGGGTATTGAAGCAAATAAAATGTTGTAAAATACATAAGGTTTCTTCGACACTCGAGAGGTCTTATAATACGCTTGAGTGCTTAAATTGTTAAGTTGCACAGTAGGCTTCCTTCCTTACAAGACGCTCCGATTCAAATATATATATATTTACATTGTTATTCTAATGAGACACTAACAAGAAACCAATGTAAATAGCGATTTGTCCTATTTTATAACTGGTTTTATTTACGTTTTGTAATCATATCTTTATAGATTAGAATTTACAAAGATTACATACTTTAATAGTATGTTAATGTATCATGGATATGCATAATTATTTAAAGTCGAAGCTAAATGAAGCTGTTTGTTTATTCAACAGACTTAAATTACAAGACTGCAGAGCGTACATCAAATAAGTGAATTTTATAGTCGGGACGCGCTGCAGCGGCACTTTGAAAGCGAGTAGCGCCATCTCATCCACATGTTTCCTCGAATTAATGTCTGTTTTCACCGAACAAATGCCTGTCATAAAACAAGTAGATCACTACATAAAACATTATTGACTGTTTGTTTATAATAAAAAACACATTGAATGTACGTTTAGTCGTCATATATAAAATTTTGATGTCCTTAATAGAAATAAAAACGACTTAGTTCACATTTCACAAGTACATATTATATCAAAGCGATAAAATAACTTATGCAATGTAGCCTACATTAATGCATAAGTTTTATTTACATTTTACGCATCTTACGTGCAAATTCATCAAACTTAAATCAATTTAATTGTTTATAAAAAAATATACCTTATCTATAATTGGTAGAGCAAAAATTGATTTATATTTCATTCACTTTTTAATTTAATCTCGACTATTAATTTAATAAATTTATTGTTTACTAGCGGCTCACCCTCGCTTCGCTCGGGTTCACCTCTAGAAAAGCACAAACAGATCTATCCCACGGGAACCGTTCATTTTTCGGGGATAAAAATAAGTAACCTGTTGTTTGACGTGCAATATAAGGTATCAGCATGCCAAATGTTACTAAATTAGGTGCATAAGTTGTTGTGTACTGAGCTGTATAAGTTACTATATTTTTTTAACTATCCCACGGGAACTCTTTAATTTTCCGGAATGAAAAGTATCAAATTTCATTTAAATAGGTTCAATAGTATCGGAGATTAGCCCGTACGAACAGACAAACCGACAGAGAAACAAAAAAATTTAAAAAATCTGGATTTGTTCTATTTCTCTCCTTACGGGATGTAAGAAGAGAACTGACTCGTTTTTTAGCAATTTTTTCTACCATCTATGTACAGACATTCGACCTCTACAGTTTTATTATTCATATATGTACCTATATTCAGATAGAATAAATAACGTATAATAAAACAGAAATATATAATAATGAAAATAGTTATAGCGAGTGTACCTTAGGAGATAGACATATACTATGTAGAACTTTTCTATAGACCTTTTTAAGACTTACAATTTTCTTGTACAATGTTTTGATCTATCTCTTAAGGTTGAGCCAACGTTAGCCATATAAATTTCTAAGGACAATTCGATAGAACCAGTTATTGTATTTTCCCGTGGGAATGAATAATTTGCCTGTCGTAAAAAGTATTCTAAATGTTGACCCGAGCACTAAGTTTTATCACTATACAAAATGAAGTTAAAATCGGTTGAGTATTTTTTGCGTGAAACGCGCACATCGATTTGACTAAGTTTTATTATAGGTATAGATAAGAATAAATATTGCGAGTGTAACTTAGGAGATAGACATATACTATTCAGAACTTTTCTGTAGGACTTTTCAAGACCTACAATTTTTAGTATATTGTTTTGATGTATGTCTTAAGGCTTAGCCAGAGGAAGGTTTCTAGGGAGGACTCGATAAAACCAGTTATTATATTTTCCCGTGGGGAAGAAAGATTTTCTTTAAGTAAAAGGTATCTAGGCAGTGGTATCCCAGTGGTAACGCGCTCGCTTGGGAAACCGAGTGAAGCTAGTTTAAATCCCGGGTCTAGCACCTCTGATATTGGCCAGCGTGGTGGATTATGGCCTGATCCACCTCGTACTGAAGGGAGGCCCGTGCGTGTGTTAAAAAGGGCTGAATACAACATACATACATACATACATACAAAAGGTGCCCTAAATGTTGACTCGAGTAATAAGTTATCATTTCACCGAATTTCGTTGAAATTGGTACATTACTTTTCGCGTGAAACGCGCACACAAAAACGGACAAACAGACATACAGGCAAACAGACAGACAATTTTTTAATAACTATTGTTTTGGGGTCTATGTTGTGTACTTAATACGTTACAAATAAGCAAAAACATCTATCCCACGGGAACAGTACATTTTCCGGGATAAAAAGTAACCTGTTTGTTATTCTGATGTATGAACTATATTTTATACTATTGTAAAGTTTCATCAAAATCCAATCAGTAGTTTTTGTGTAATAAGCTGCATAAGTTACTATAGTTTTTTGGCTATCCCACGGGAACTCTTTAATTTTCCGGGATAAAAAGTATCTAAGATGTTGCACGGGGATATAAGGTACCACCATGCAAAATTTCATTTAAATTGGTCTGATAGATTCGGAGATTAGCCTGTACAAACAGAAAAACAGACAAACAGCTCGCTCGGGTTCGTCCATACCTACGAATATGTTGTATTATCTCTTTAACCATTTGTCCAAATTATATGCAGTAAAAGGGAAAAGCCTTTTGTTTTTAATATTTTAGACAATAAATTTACTTACTTTGATAAGAATTCATAATTGTTGATAATATGACCAATAAACATGACCTACCGATTTAAATTATTTTATTAAAATAAAAAAACTACTT